GCAGGAATGGAGTCAAGATTTTAAAATGTCTTTCTCTTTTGAAATGCCATCCAGCGTGACACCTCAATCACCCACACCGTAAAATTCCTCGTTAAGGGTACTGCATTTTGGAGTCGAGACAACTCTCTTTCACAGTCTCTCTCTGTCTCTCCTTTTTTTGATCCAAATACAGAGTGATTTAGTAAAAACTTAATTGCTCATAAAATTTATACCATTAAAGATTCATGCATTTATTAATTTTTTTTTTTTGCAATGTGTATGATGCACCTTGGAATCAAGGAACGTAAAATATTTTCCTGACAGACTTGAAAACTAGGGTCTTCCTTGCTCACACTTATGTAAATACTTCTCTGAAAACCAGCAGGGTATAATCTAATGTGGAAAAAAAAGGTAGATGAACCAAATGCTTGGTTGTCGATAACATCTCAAAAATTAATTGCATCCTTTTGGATTCTTTCAGTGTGCTCTTGTTGACAAGGATTGTGTACCGTCCTAGGCCCCAGTACTGGTGTATCTTGTGTAGTACTAAAGATGTATCACATGTCTATTTTAATATTTTTAGTTTCTGTGCAAATGTTTGAAAGCAATGCAACGCTGAAGCTTTTAATGATTTCTTTTGTGTCACACTTTATTTAGATAAATTAAAAATAGAAAGCCATATAACATATAGTTAAGATTACTACTTGTTTGCTACTTTCATTTAACTTATTTTTGTTGTTTCCTCACTGGTGTTGCTCAGCAATGTTCCAAGAGAAAAAAAAAGCTTTTTAATTGCACATTACCACAGCTAACATGCATTGTTCAAGACAACAATGGATCCATGTATTTGTACGTAAATATCCTTTTTCTTAATTTCTAACTAGTTTCCTTTGTAACAATGCTGCATAACATTGTGGCTCCCTAATGCAATAATGTACAGAACATAAAATATTTATAATTGACCGTATTCTCTGTTTACTGAACATATTGCAGTAATGCCCCACCTATCTTCTTACCTCCCCAACCCTTTTATAAAGGTGATATCAGTATGCAGTGCTCAGACTGAAGTTGTCATGTGATAAAGGGGGCAACAGGTGGAAGAAAGGAAAAAAAAGAAATTTAACTTTTAGAGCATCTTTATCTGCAATCCATAATAGTAAAATGTCTGTGTATTTTTTTAAATGTAACTTTTCAATAAAATAATGAGAAAAATATATGTGCTGCTTGTGGTTTTTAATTGTTACAAGAAGAAAGAAAGCCTGGAACAAACAAAATTAGCTAAAGGAGTCTTTAGGAGCGGGCGAAGCATTAGAGTTGCAATAAAGTGTAATTACAGAACTTGTGTTTACTTCCCTTGTGTTTTAATGTATTTTCCTTGCTACATCCCGTTACAGCCTTTACTGGGACTTTTTTGCAGTAAGACTGTAAACACTCACTTCATCTGAGATTCAGAGGAAGAAGGAGTAGAGCCAGGTGGGTGGTTATGGTTTTATTATTGCACCACCAAAATGCTACAACATGGTTATGCCATCTCTGATTGAGATTAAGGATTAACTTTAAAACCAGCCTGGGCGTACCTGAGACTGGAAGCAGGTCGCTTTGGAACCAGGACTGCTCTGAAGCAAAGTAGGCGGCTGCTTGATGCAGCAGGCTTTTGAAGACAGGTGTTTGGGGAAGCTATGAAATTATAATTTTCCCTGCTGAAAATCTTGATCTGTTCTGTAAAAATCTTTTCTTTGTTGATACAAAGTGAAAAGTAAAGAGCACAAGAGTAAAAAAACTCAACTGTAAGGCTGTTAGGGTTGATACAAAGCCAACAGGGCCACTACAAATCTGTAATGGCCAAGGAATAAAAATTTCAGGAGCTTTATAATAGGGAATTTACAGACCAACATATACCTCATAGTTGCAACTTATTAGAGACCATTTTCTGCAAGTGTAATTCTGCTCAGTTTCCACTATTCAGTGGAGCAGTTGACTGTATTGTGAGAGGATAATTTGCTGGAGAATCACCTACAAAGGTGCAGGTAAGGGAGTCCAAGCTTTTAGCATCCTCTGGGGAAGCAGGTACAGTTCTATGATTCCTGTGGACTGTGAGAATTACAGGGTAGTACGGGTGGGCACTCTTCCATGTGCATCTGTTTGTGTCTGATTTTTGTAATTCATGCTTGTAGGGAGTCAGGTTTAACTGCTCAGCTACTTTCAGAGGAGTTACTTGCATGAGGAGCCTGTTTCTGTCCAATCTGACATAGGTTTACAGAACTGTGTATTTTAATTGGGTCTTCAGGAAACATGAGTTTTCTAAGTTTACCTGCTTTTTAAAACCTGCTGATGGTGATGAGAAATGTAAAGCAATTACAAGTTTCTGCAGCTGAAAATATTCCCATATAAAATACAGAAAACCTGTACATAGGAGGGGACTGGCCAGGGGTGTGTACATTTCTTGGACAGCTGATTTTGCCACCAAAGTTTTGTCCATGACATGCAGGACTGAACACCTGAGATTATAATTTTATGATAAATGGCAAACCTTCCCATTATACCTGCTGAGATCTCTCATTTTAGAAACGAGCTCTACATGAGAAGGAAAATTTGTATCATACTTGCACAAAGGCTATCGGCTGCTTTTTTGATATCTTAGGATGTTTTCTCCTAAGATGTAATATCATTACAGACAGCTGAAATTCATGGATTTGTTATAACAAAGAACTAATACTGAAATATAAGATTTGCAGCGCAGTTACCATTTTGAATAAATACACTGAATGTGCAAATGTCTAAGGTAATAAAGTAATAGGATCATATCCTCTCATATGTCTGTTATTCTAGGTCTGTTAGCTGCACTCTGAGCTGCAAGTTGTTCCTGTACAAGAAGTCAGAAGTTACAAGAGGCACAGTGTTGGTCAGGGATTGTCACCTGGCACTGCCGTCTTTCTGTAGCAGAAGAAAAAGGATCCAGATCAGACACAGACACATCAGCAGGAGCTTTCTGCTGCTGTGCGTGGCTGGATCATGGTCTCTGTACTGCAAAAGATTTCCATAAAGGGTATCAAAAGAGGACATGTCCAGTAGTCTATACAGAGATATACTTTTAAGAAAAAATAATAGAAATAGGATCTTGTATGACCACTGCAGGATAGTAGTATGTGTCCCTCTCATTTCTGCAGGTCAAAGGGATAATAAAATCTTTCTCTCTGATTTTGGTCAGATAGCAGAAGGAAGAAGACAGAAGCTAGCATGCACATTGCCCTGTCCATATCACCATTTGAACTGCTCTGATAATGTTACAGTGGGTCCATCTACTGATAAACTGATACACATTTCCTGTAAGAAAGAGATTATTTCATTAAAAATAAATTACCTTATTTTATTCCCTTTCCCTGTGATCTTGGACTACAAATTTTATGTTCAGAAAAGTTTTGCAAAATGATTTGTCACATTTGTCTGAAAAAAAAGAGAGCATGGTTCTTTTAAGCTCTGCAGGAAGTATTTCACTATCCTTGTGCATCTGGCAATAACCCAGTGAGCCTCACTGTGTATCTTTTGAACATGTCACCTTGCATAAGTGAGGTCCTATACTATTTATTCATGCTTGGTTGGACAGTGAATCTCCACAGCTGTCACCTTCTGGTCACAGTGGTTATGCTGATTTTCTTACTATGCCTAATAGATGTTTTTAACCATTTTTTCCCTAACATTCTTGCTTCAGGTGACATCCTGAGTATCGTCAAGAATTTATTGGCATGACCAGCATTTCAGATAAAACTGTATGTATGTTTTTGAGTATCTGGGATTCTTAGATATTATATTTTTTTTGATTAAAGTAAAATTGATTTAGAAATGTTTCTATTTGGTTTAGTTTCCTATTTATATGTATTTGTATTGATAGAGTACTGTGCTAGATGCTGAATGCCAAAGCCAACTCCTGCCAAGCACCAGAAATGGAAGAGGCCCCATCCTGGCTGTCGCCTTTGAGAGGCTGCAGTTGAGGGAGGTCCCTGGTAGCTGGGAAAAGGACAATTTTGTGCCTGTCTTCAAAAATGGCGAGAAGGATCTGGACACGTGAAAACACGTAGGTCGTGGGGATTGGCCAGCCTGGGTTTACCACAGGCAAAATCACACCCGAGCAGCCCGCGTGCTTCCTGTGGCAAGGTGCCTGCCTGCGCAGACGTGGGGGAGCCACAGGTGCCTGTGCTGGCTCCAGCTGGGCTCTTGAGGGTCTCCGGTAGAATCCCTGCGGGCAAACGGGCAGCGTGGATGGGGTGGGTACAACGCCAGTTGCCTGCTGTTCCTCAGGGGTCAGTGACACCTGATGTACTTACAGCAACCTGGCTTTTAGGATGAGAGAGGGTGTGTGCTTTTCCAGGCCGTGTGCTGGAGGGTAAGGCTGATGCCCAGAGGGACCTCAGCAAGCTGGAGACATGGTTTGAATGGAACCTCAGGGGGTTCAGACAAAGGCCAAGTCCTGTGTCTGGGAAGGAGCCATGCCATTTATTGCAGACCCAGCCCCCTCACCAGAAACCAGCTTTCCACAAAAGGACCCAGGTGGGGTGGGGGGCACACAAATTTTGTGGTGGACAAATTGAATACCAGCCTGCAGTGCGCTCTTGTGGCAGCAGAGCTTAACTGAGTCCTGTGCTGCTTTAGCAAAACCATGGCAGGCAGGATAAGGGATGTGGTAAACTCCTCTGTTCAATGCTTTTGAAGCTGTCCCTGGAGGAACGTGTCCAGTACGAAATTGGAGTGAGTCTGGGAGAAGGCTGCAAAGGTTGTTAGGAAATGAGCATGTTGTATTCAGGAAAGTGAGGTGGTTTGTTGAGCCTGGAAAAGGCTGTGGCAGGTGTAGCTGGTCACAGGGAAGAGAGACGGACATTTCTCAGAAAAACCTCATGAAAGGGCGAGAGGTGACAGTCAGAAGCTGCCGGAAAGAACATTCTGGCTGCACATAA